GACACTCTAACTAGCGTGCTCCAGAGTCACCAGCTTAGGAAATGTACTCACCCCTGTGGGGCGAATGGGTGAGCTTAATTTGATGGCCCGGGCACAAAGCGCTCGTTGAAATGTGCAGTGCAGCATTTACGCTCTAATGGCAGCAGATCAGAAGCACAATGCTGGCAATTGACAGAACACTTGATAATTATTGTGATCTTTAGCCTGAACATGCACATTCATATATCTGTAACAGTTTGTGGATGAGGAGGCAGGTCACTTTGGACACCCTGTATCACCCCAATTAGTGCATTTGTTGCCACGAAGCCGCTGAGGCTGAAGGAAATTTCTCAAATGCTTCGCTGCATAAGAACTGAATGTGCATGTGCCGCTGCATTTCATCGAGCCAAAACGCTTTCAGAATGGAGGGGGGGGACTTGTTTCCCATTAATTCTTTGTTTCCTACAATGCCATGAAGCTGGAGAGGTTGGCCGACTTGCTAAACATCCAAAAAAAACGGACCAAAATCTTTGAAAATGTTCCCATTATTACTCTTAATAAAAAGGAAATGGGATCGTATGGGACACTTCATTTACCAAGCTGGCTGCGTAACTTCTCAGAAAAGTAGAAGGAAGGAACACACCATGTTTACACAGCTGTAATTCCCCTGTGTGATTAGCTCATCTGATAAAGATTCAAGATTTCAAACGGCAGAACAAAGAAGGAATCCGCTCCGCATAGCTCGTCTGCGTTTGTCAGTTATGCGGGCACACCTGTGAATCTTGTGACGTCAAGTGGGAAATACCAAAGTCGGCAGTAAATCCTGCAGCTCTGCAATTAGTGCTTTATTGAAAGCAGGTGCAGTGGAAACGTCCACCGACTACATTTGTGCTCAACAAACATTCATTGGACGATAAACGCGTAATATTCTTTAGGCTGCAGTTAACGAATAAATAAACCCTTAATGCTTTAGTATGAAGAAATGAACCAGTTAAGAATGTTATACAGGTCAAATTGATTTGGTGTCTATTGTGCAGCAAGCAGTAAATGTTAATCTCCCTCCCCTAATGTTAGCCAATGCAGTATTTGAACAGTAGTGTTTAAGTACAAAGTGTTCAAGTGCACTTAAACCCTTGTTAGTACACGCTGTATTGGCAGGTTTTAAGGAAGAAATTACAGCGTGTGTTTACTGCCGCGTGCACGACGTTTGATGTCAGTATCGGCACTTTAAAAACCGGCAGAATTCACGTCTACGTAATGGGGGATAATGAAGGTATCGGGGAGAGGAGCAGTTGATTATTGCGCCGACTGATAGCGAGACCCATCCTCACCAGATGGTGTCATAGTGGGGATTGCCTCTGGTAATGGACCGCTGATATTTCAGTCCCATCTGTACCTGCTCTCACCAAACAGCCTCGCGAAGCAGTCAAAACAGATATCACCGTTTTACAATAGCGGTTTTTAACTGGATGTTCATGATGCTTTTAAACCGTGGCCCTCCATCCAATTGAGATGATTTGTAAATGAAGGCAGATTTAGTCTTTTTTTTTTTCTGTAATGCTGTGAAAATTGAATGCGGTAAATTAAATTGTGACGATGTGTTTACCAGTCGTGTTTAATCTATCCGTATGTTGTTCGGTGTGAGTTTTCTGAGGAATTCTTGTGTCTAGTTGATTGACAATTAAACTGTTAGTGCCTACATCTTCCTTTACGCTCAATATTCTCCGTATTTTAATATGTAATTAAGTACACTCTAATCCTAATTAAACTGCTGTCAAATTTAGCGTATTTTTTCCGAGGAGCATTTATTTTCCTGTGCTTATACTGTTAGTAATTTCAGCCTGAGCACAGTCATAATATTGGCACAGTCATAATAGTGGGTGTTCTTATAGCAAATAGCGAGGCGCGGTAAGGAAGTTTTTTTTTTTTAAGCAGTAGACAAATCTTGGTAATGTTCTATAAATCATATTAGAGAGCTTAAATCAAACATATTCAAGGATAATCTTTTGTCAGTTTTCTACTGTTAGTCACACTCAAGAATATATTTTCTAGCCTTACAAAATACATCATAAAAACGAACTATCTGATCAGCAAAAGATGTGTCTCAGCATATGTTCTGTGCGTAAACACCACTAACTACAGCTGCTGCTTTGTTGTAATGCAGCATTTTTTTTGGCTAATAAATGAAGTCCCCTCCCTTCCATCTTTTGGTCTGCCTTAAAATCAGACTCGTAAAAAAAAAAAAAAAACCCTTCTTCACTCCACAAGTGAGGAATTTTTTGGCCACTTAAACATTCTTCACATTCTACAAATGGCCCTTGAAGCCTCCGTGTCCCCATTAGATGTGGGAATCTAATTACAAATATCTGATTTGAAGGGGGAATGAGTTAACCTTTGCTGAAATGCCACTGCATAACCATCTGTGAATGGCAAGGAGGAGGACCGGGCCTGAGGCATTTCCACGGCGACATACAGAGTGATGGACAGTTTGGCCTACCTCAAAGGAACAATGCGATGAGGCCCAGTTGTCTGTCAATCTCAAGAGAGATTTGCTTTCCTATTTAAATGTAAAATATGTGGGAGTTTCACATTAACACGAGTAGCTGGCTGAATGGATGTGCCGACATAGATTCTATTCTTCTTTTAATTTGCTAATTGTGGTGCAGAAATGTCATTTGGCTGCACGAGCGGTTCTAATGTGCGGCGAGGTGTCGATGCACAATGCGGTACGTTTATGGCCTGTCGTGCTACAAAGCTTACAGTTGCATTCCTTAGCAGGTTTTACAACCTCGTGACTTCTGTTGCTTAGAAAACACCTGGAGCTAGAAGCAGTCGCAGGCCGTGCTGTCGGACCGGCGCAGTGACTCGACTGTAGATGTTGTGCAGCCTCCTGCTCTCTGGACAATCGATCTGCAGAAAAATGAAGGAAAGTACTTTGCTAAATGTCAGTACACATGAGATCGATACGTACTTGTTCCGTTGTGTAATCTGGCCCCTTTCCCCCCCTCAGATGCCCAGTTACAGAGACGGACCACTAATGGAAAAGGCCTCCTGATTCAAATATGATGTGATATTTTGTGGATGGGAAATACGTTGTTCTTGGGGGGGTGATGATACGCTAACGCTGCTTTACGTACTATGTGTGTGTGTGAGCTTTATGTCGACCGCATATTGTTGTGTCAAGGTCTCTGCGTTCCTGCGTCACAGCTGCATTTCATTTCATAGTTCATCAGTCTTACCTTTTCATGTTGCCGCTGCACTTTCACCCTTCAATCTTTTTTTCTTTTTCTCATGATAAGATTTTTTTTTTTCTAAAGCTGCTGGCATGTGCGTCTACTTTAACTCTCTGCCATACCTTCCCTCTCTGTCTCTCTTTTGCTATCACCCTTGCTTTCTATATCGACACTATTTGTTTCTGCCTTTACACTCACTTCATTTTTTATTTTTTTCCCTCTCTCCTCTAGTCTCTCTCTCTCAGGTTGCAGGATGAGTCATGACAGCTCACCAGTGTTGGGCAGAGCAGGGGCCGACAACCCCCCAAAGCAGAGACTAAAATCATGCAATACTACTCTAACACATAAGCACTGGAACGTATATTCTGTTATTAGATCTCTGGTCGCGGTTTCCGTACGTATGCAAGACGTCTGGTGAGATCCGAGTGACAGATGGAGAGTTGATGTTTTCTGCGAGTGTACATTATGAATCACAGGTGCTTCAGTGTTTTCTAGCTGCTTTGCTTTAAAGACACTTGAAATAAATTTTTTTTTTTACTCCCTGTTGTTCCCTAAACTGTAAAGCCTGCCCCTCCACATCCACTTATCCCCCTCCGGGAGTTGCATTTCTGTCTGTTTTCCCCCTACGAGCAGATTCCTTCAGCGCTCCTCCACCCTGTTTCGAGAGTGGCTGTTGTGGCAGAAGGTGCAGGCTTACAGAGGCTGTGAGGTGGTTTGACTTTTGGCAGGAGTTGAGAAGCTGCTGACGTGTGTGTTGGGCAGGATGTGTGTAAGAAGCAGTGCTGGATCCTGTTTTTCAGACCGCAGCAACTGGAGCTTAGCCACAGCTATGGTTTTTATAATGTAAAACACACACACACATAGACACACGCACACACACACAACCTTAGTGTGCTAACCCCAACCTCGACTCATAACTTCCTTGCCAACACCAATCATGCAACACAGAAATGCCCGATTTGATACGTGCACGCAGAGTCAGTCCAACACGTGCAGGCAAACGCAGAGACAGACGTGCTCTAAATTACACTGAATTTAACAAATTGTAGATTTATCTGTTATCTTCATAAAAGACACTATGACATTTACTCTTTCTAATTGCTGTTTGGCTTATAGGGCGAATTACAGGCTCCATCTGGAGCCCGAAGCCGCTGGTGTAAGAACAGAGGAATGCATTATACCGCAGTAGGGCAATGACATCCTGTATAACAAGTTTCTTGAAACAAACAAGCCTTGAGAGGCCCCCCTGCATGCTCTCAACGTCACACACGCGCACACACACACTATATGCTGTGCATACGCACACACGTGCAGTGAAAAATACGTTGGCATTTGCCGTGTGGCTAGAAATGTTACGGTTCACTGGCGTGCATGCAGACACTGGAGACAGACAGAGGGCGTGCATAGGGCAGCGAAAAACAAACTGACATGGCAACAGCAGTGCTTGCGTTGTTATGATGGAGGAGGGCTATAATAGAGACAAACACACGCCGCTCGAGAAAAGAAGAGTTGAGCAGAAGATTTAAGGGGAGGAAATGAAGGGAATTACTTCTGTCAACACTTTTGCGTTATTGCTTATATGCACCAGAGGCTTTCTATGTCACTATGTGCTCTCCTGTGTGTAAGCAAATTGTACATGTGCAGACCTGTTCCTCTCTGAATGAAGTGCTAAGAGGATCAATAGGTTTAGCTGACTGTACACGGCAGACACACCTATTACACAGGATCAGGACATCCCACTGACTGGAGCGAGGAAGGAGGAGGAGGAGGAGGAGGGAGGAGGAGGGAGACGACCGGCAGCCAAACAGAGAGAAGGGGAGACACTGAAGAGACGCTTCACTGTGTGTTTTTTTTTTTCTCTCTCTCTCTTTACTTCCTCACTTCCCTCCATGGGAGGTTGTGAAAGGGCAGAACAGAGAGGGAGACACAAAATCAGAGAGACAAAGGGGGCAAAGCCGAGAGGATGAAAGCGAATGTGAGTGTGTGAGTGACTCTGTGGGTAACATGCTCTGTCATGCTGGTGTGACTACCGCTGCCTCTCCGACCGGCGTCGCTGGCTGTCAGGAAAAGGAATGTTTTCCGGAGAAATGAGCCCCTGAACCGGTTCACCATGTGGATGTGGGACAGCAATTTCCAAACCTTTGCCGGAAGAATCCCACGGAAAAAAGAGCAGCGGCCGGAGAGCTTAGCTGGTCTTGCTGGGTGGCCGCCTGTGTGCTCGCACTGCTGAGACTCTCTTACTTAAAAAACTGAGTTAACTCTGAGCTTAAGTGTGCTTCCAGTTCCTTCTAGTTCATGTTTCTTTTTTTAGTCACCACTTTTATTGGGATTTTTATTTACCCTCTGGAACTCAGTGGATTTTATGGTGCTATATAGTTAGATTTTTAACATTGCCTTGTTACATATAGGCCGGCTCTTTTTGTAATCATGCCCTAGGACCAAACACGTGAGGCTGGAAGTTCAGAAGGGGCTCTTTCACCGGAGGACTGCTCTGAATGTGTGCATCACACCAGTGAACTTTACTATGGAACACTGTATTCTGTGCTGGGGCCTACAGATATTGGGGGGCAGTGTCTGTGGAGCTAAATAGGTAGGGGGACGAAAAGTTAACAGGAAGGGCAATCAGTCCTGAAACAACATCGGTATGAAGCCTGGGCAATGTCCAGGTGTCCCCAGCGATAGGTCCATGATGCACCTCAGCCATTTTCCTTTTAGGAGGCACTCCTGGATATGGTGAGTATTGGTAGTGTTGATGCTTGAGATGCATGTGTGTGTGTTCTGTTTATGCTGTTGCTTTATTGTGTCCCCACAGGAGCGTGTTCACGAGTTCATTTAAAAAAACATACAATTGTGAATTGGCGTATTAATCTGTCGGCATGCTTGTTGTTTTTATAGCATAGTAAAAGTCCCTTTCACGCTAGCCAAGCTCAGCCCTGTGTCACTTTTTTTTTTCTTCCAAGCTTGGCTCTGATGTATTCAGGGGAAATTTATTGTTAAATGGGCCAGACATTTCCTGTCATTTTCTCCCACACAAAATGCTTCACTTGATCCATAAACGTGAGGGCAAGTCAGAAACGGCACAGACATACTGTGATACTGAGGCTGCGTTTCACGGGTTGGAAAAAATATTTTGATAAAAGTGCTGTGTTGTTGGGTCTTGCTTTGATTAGTCATACTTAGGCTGGGTATCTTATGGGAATAGTTGTCTCCCAGCTATGCTATAAACTGGGAGGGACGCAGAGCAGCAGTCAGTGATGTCATCAGAGTGGGCTGCGGATATGAGCAAATGTTCGTAGTTCCAACAATGTTTTTTTTTGTTTTTTCTCAGTTGTTTGAGTTTTTTTTATGACAATCAAGCAAAAGATATTTAGTCAAGTGTCACAACCTTAAACAAGCACCACCTCATAAAGACTTTCTGGCTTAAATATTGCGAGAACAGAACCATTTACTGACATTTCCAGCAGAGACGGTGAAAGAGAGCTGCTGAGATGTAAACAGATCACAGGAGAATAAATGTGGAGAAACAGATGAACAGCGTACAGACGTCACGGCACACAAGAAAACACACATGAGCGCGTCCGCCCAGCTATTCAGACTTACTCATGTACACACACACAGGCAGAAACAGGGCTGGCCTCTTAGTCAGGAAGCAGATTACAAAGGAAATATTCCTTGTAATCTATGAACATTGTGTAAACAGATACACAGCAAAACATCCTGGTTCTTGTCTCTCTCCTCTTGACACTGTGGGGATTATCGTACATGTGCTGCAAGGCTGTACAAACACACACTCGGATGCAATAATAGGTGACTATAGTGTGACTTTAGGATGAGTGAGCCTTCAGTGCTAAGTCATGTTTTTAACCACAGCGGCTTCACTCTGTTTAAGAACACTTGTACATAGAGTGGATAGCTAGAATTAAAAAATTTCCAGAGTAATTAAAGGTAAATAGCAGTGAGTTCTATCACAAATATCATACGAATGGTAAAGAGAGCGAAATTATATTAACACACACCGGCTTTGATACAGTCTTTCCCTTGTTTTTGTACGTCTTTGATTAATTTGAGAAAAATCTTCACTAAAAATCTGCTGGAATGTATTGTGTTGCCAAATTGGAGGGGTGTAGCAGATCTACTGAGTGTTGGGAGAGCAATTTAGGGCTGTCAGAGTTGTCAAAATGAAGCATTAGTCTGAAAATGGGAGATGAGCCTGTCAGACTCCATTTAAACCTCAGGCAGGATTTTTTTTTCTTTTCTCGCTTTCTCTACACAGTAAATCTACGTAACACGTCTGTATTGGTGTGTGTGAGTAAAGAGGAGCTTTCAGGAGGATCTGTGTTATTCATTGCACCTTTATAATGGACTAGTCCTCGTCTGCCTGTGTCAGACCTGTGGTGTACAAGTCAAGTACCACTGAGAGAATAAGGCTTAGAGAGATAACGAGAAGATAAACAGATTTCTGTCTGAGATTTGCGTCCATATATATATATGCGCTCACATAGACATACATGTGCAAGTGGATTTGTTGAAAACTTTGAAAACAACACATTTGGCCTTGTTCATGTAACACACTATAGAAGTCATAGAAGAACTAGAGGTGTAGTCAACCAAAGAAAATGTTCCTCCACCAGTTGATTGGTCATTGGGAGAAAAACAGCAACAACAAAACAAGTTGGCCACAATGCACTGAGTGCTCTCTACCTGCTCACCTTATTAGCTTAAATGCACCATAAACAAACCTGAAAAGCTAGTCTTTGTAGCATATGAAATCAGAGTCATGTAGCTATGTTGTACTTTTGATAACAACAGACTCAGCACTGACCAGCATGCACTCACCCACATGCGAATGGTTTCCGAAAACACACCTAAAATCAGCTGGTGATCCAGTAGATGAAACTCTATGTTGGTTGTAGAGCCGTGATATGCGGCAGGTGGTAGAGCGGGTTGTCCTCCAATCGCAAGGTTGGTGGTTCAATCCCCCGCCCCTCCACAGTCCTTGGGCAAGACACTGAACCTGAAGTTGCTTCCAATGGCAGGCAGCTCCTTGCATGGCAGCTCCGTCGCCATTGGTGAATGAATGGGTGTGTGAATGGGGGAATGAGAAACACATTGTAAAGCGCCTTGGGAAAAAAGTGCTATATAAGTGCAGACCATATGCAAACTGCATCATTTAAATTCAATGTCAGTTTTATTTCTACAGCATAGCACCAATTCACAACGTATGTCCCCACAATCACAAAGTATGGTGAAGACAAACTACTCAGAGAAACCCTCCGAAAAAACGACATTTTCTTTCAGTTCCCTTTTGAGCAAGCACTAGGCAACAGTGGGAACAAAAAAAAAGACTTTACCAGGCCATCCATTTTTAAAAACATGTAGTCACACCAGCCACTTCTTCACCGTGGTTCCAATAAGTCTGCAGCCAACCGAGTGAACAATCAGGAAGTGTAAGCATAGAATAACTCAGACCTTGCAGTCTCCATTCGATGGGTGAGAAAACAGAGTGTTCTCGACACTGTCCATTTTCCACAGGTAGTCTGTTATTCCCGCTGCCAAAAATAATAGATTAATTCTGAAATGCCATCGATGCAGTGCTTTTCTGCTTATGAAACTAACAGCGGCGATTGTCCAACCAATGAGAATTTGGCCAGCTTAGAGCATATTGACCCACCAGTCGATCTGGAGACTGCAGCCCTACCAATAACATTATCCTCTCTCTCTCTCTTGCCATCAGCCTTTTTGAATTAGGGGCCTCACCACATTATTGTGTTGTTATTTTTACACCGAGCTGTATTGATCACCACGCTGCTAGTCTGCCTGCATATGTATGGAGACACTATAAGCTACTGATTTTATTCTCCATTTTTGAATGTGCAGGGTGTTCCCTCCAGACCCGCAATGAATAAACTGAGATGTATGATTGTCTAAACTTCATTAAACACTAACCAGAAAGGAAATGAAAAGTGTGTGTAGTAATCCAATTAAGTGAATCCAGTGCCTGAGAGACCAGAGAGAGGGAATAGACAGGGCTATATTTAGAACAAAGATTGGAAATGCATTGCTCCATTGCTTTTCTCTTTCCCCAGCTCTACTAAATGTTGGCGGTTGTGTGGTGCCAGTGGATAATCAATGGCTTCAATGTGGAATTTCGGTGCCTTTTTCGCGCATTTTCATATCATGTGTGATTCCCTGAACCCCTCTTCTCTCGCGCCCTTCCTTGCTCTCGTCGGTCCCGAGGGTGGCTTCCTCAGACGCGCCGCGTTTTGTCGCTACAATAACAAGACACAAGGCGTTGTTATCTCATTTCTGTGAGGCGTTCTCCCACTGCACATTGTCATTGATTCTGGTGTTGCCGGGTCAATCTCAGCCAAACTTTAGATTGCTTTCTATCACTTTGTTGGGACTGAGGTGGAGATTTTAAAATGGGCTTTTTGGAGACAGCAGAGACCCGCTGTCAGTTTTGAGGAGACAAAGTCATCAGTCACTGTTGTCCCAGAGAACCACCGGCACCGAGTGTGTGCTCGTGTGTGTGTTTGTGAGACCTACACAGCCACAGCACACCTACAGCATCAATCTCTGCCAGCTCACTGGACAAGGTGATGCTGATGTACTCAGCCTTATTAAGGGTGCTCCCCATTCACTCCCCCCCTGCTAGAAAGGCCTCACAGTCTAGCACTCCTTTCTTAACACCTTTTCTTACACTGCATTCTCCTGGCTGCTTTGTGTGTGTGCAGTGAATGAAATGATTGATATCCACTCTGGGCTTGTACACAATGCAGAGATTGTTTTGCACTTTACAGTGCAAATTTAGAGCATCCTCAAAGGAAAAATGACTGAAAGACATACAGTGACAAGAAACCTGTGGGTTCGCTGCGTTCAGATACAATAGATTCCAATTTGGCTGTGACGCTTGAAGGTGTGGACAAATGTCTACTTGTTTCTCCGCCATATTACCGGCTATGAGTTGATTGGCGTTATGTGTTGCAAGGTGGACTAGTCAGCGACACAGCCAACTCCTAACATGCAGGCCAAGGAGCTCTTGTTGGTCCCATAGACTGTAT